AAATGCGAATCGTAACCAGATAAATTGTGGAAGACCACAGGAATACAATATAAATTTTTATAATTTAAATTACAGTTCGAATGCGCCGGACCTCCATATCTTCCGGTCAAATGGCAATGATCGCGTACTCTATCATCACCCAGTGCGAACAGTTTTTCACATATGTGGCAATGCGTCGCGCTACGGTATGCCCCCCACTGTTCCTTCGACAAATTTTCCATTGGGACATTAGTGAATAATTTTTCTTTTACGTGTTGTGATAACACTTTGAGTTGCTCGACGAACCACGTGATGCAATCTTTATCGCGACGAGATTGGTATGTGGACAATGAATCATCGTACGAGCAATGCACGTAATATCCAACGCTGAATACCTCATGATGCTGATACGCATATGAAGACGTTATCGAATCCTTGTCAATCTTTTCCAGAGTGCACTCCAAGTCGGCGTATACGACAAACGGTGCACGTTCCTTACAGTTGTAATTTTTGAAAGTTAGCCACTTGTCGTCCTCACTCGGTAATCTGATCGCGCAGTCGTTCATCTCTCCACAGTCCACAATGTGAGCTTCCAACCTTTGACTCGAACTAAAGTAATGCAAGCATGTGGAAATATATTTTTTATTATTCATAACATATTTTTATATTATTCATAAAAAAAATTATACATACCGATCGCAGAAAAATTTTTTTCCTTTGTGCTTAGTCAACTGCATGCTCATGAGGCGGGACATATTTTTTATCCATGCAAAATGGCCCACGTCGTTGTCTCCCTGAACGTATAGCAAGTTGACGTGCTTTTCCTTCTTCCGGGTGGTAAGCTGTATCGGCAAGATTTCCTTATTCTCAATGCAAAATACGTTAATTGAGATATCGTTTGAATGTTCAAATTTTTTAATCTGATTAAGCGTCATGGGAAACTCAATGTCTTGCATGTTTAGTTCCGTTATATAATCAGGATACGACGATTCTCGTTCTGTGTGTTTTTCAGCTGGATGCAGAGCATCCACCACTGACCACGCGAAACACGCATTGTCCTTAGATTGCACGTTAATTACTGCTTTCTTCAGTTTTATTTCTCGCGGTAATTCGACGTAACACCCCGCGTGCAGTGGATTGTACTTGTTTATATTAATTATCAAATTGTGTATGCGCGCTAACGCCCACCCACTATCACGTTCCTGAAACTCTTCAAGGGACGCTAAGGTAGGCTCAATGACGCGCTGCTCGTACCACTCGCGCAAATCTGTTATACGAAAGAGTTCACAGTTTCGCGTGTTGATACTTTTGTTTGCACGTTTTTCACATGACACAAATTCACCGTTGAAGGTAGTGTTCACTTTTACGCTGTTGCGTATTTGTAAAACCTCTTGCACTCGCTCGAGCACTATATCGCAAGCGTCTTCCAAAAATTGTCGCGGCTCGATATAGTCTATGTTAATCACCACACCGGTCAAAATACGATTTTCAAACGCGGTATCGATTTCTCGCCACACGAGTCTCTCGCGCCACCGCCTACATAATTACCACCGATGTGTATAAAGCGTCTCTCCAATAAAGTCTTTGCGCCTCCGAGTCGCACGATGCTTGCCACCACAGATTGCTTGTATCCGATCGAGAGCCGCGGACGCTTAACTCGACTGTGCTCTTCGAGTCGTTGCACACACTCGTCGCATCGCTGCACCCACGCGAAATATTCGCCCAAGGTGGCAACTCGGCTGGATTGCTCCAATAGATCACGTTCGATTTGCTCCATGTCTCCAAGAATTTTATCATATCATATCACACTCTTCTTCGTTACACTTGCACGTAATTTGTTTGCATTTTTTTCGCTTCTTGTTACCTACTGCGGTCTTGAACGTTTTCAGACTGATTTTATACTATATTTTGTCTTTCTCTAAATGGTATTATTTTCAAATCCTATCGACGCTGAGTTGGATCATCTTTCTGATGCATGTAGTTGTCGGACATTTAGTCAGCGCTCGCTTGAGTCATCTTTCAGAATCGCATAGCTGCTGATTTTGATTAGCCAGCGCTAATGTCATCCCGAATATCTTTGAGATATATGATACAAATAGATTCGTATTTTTACGTGTTCCGTGATATCACATCGCAACCGTTCTAAGATTACATTTTTCTGACGCGTGCTCGAGATACGTTATCCCCAATGCCAATGCCTTTGAGAAATATAATATAAATGGACATTAAAATTTTTGTTACCACAGCTGTACATTGACA